ATTATTATTAATTAATAAAATATTAAGAATACATATTTCAAATATAAATTAAATTAATTAATTAATGAAATATTAAGACATTTTTTTTGGTTATCTATTTGTATACAAATGTATTACGATAAATTACAATTTATTAAAAACTTTGATTTTTCATGTTCAATTAACATATTCACGAGTAAGAGTACGCTCTATATATTCTTCATACACATTGAATCTATGTTGGTACGAGACAATCCATGTACTTGCATCTTCAAGACGATAACGTGTCCAATGGTACGTAAGTGTGGGCATTGGATATTCTCCATTTAACACCACCTTTATGTAATGATTACCATTAACATGCACTATTGCAATTGGCACGTGTTGAGATGACGATGAAGGTTGTATCCTAAACGGTAAGTATGTCACACTGCCTGTCATATTGAGAACATACAGTATGACATTGAACCTTGAAGCCGTTAGAATGCCCATTTCAGGCATAACAATCCAATGCGTAGCTAGTGCGAAGACGCCCTTTTGGAAAAAAAAATTCAACGCTTCGTGAATGCGTAAGCACTCATTGCCAATCACATAAGAGTAATATTGTCCATACTCAGTTAGTTCATTCATTAACTCTTTGCGGATATTGTCTCATTCGTCTTCATGACCACCCCGACAAGTAGATATCGCTCGGAATCCACAGTTTTCATCGCCTAATACATCTTCTATTTGTATGATGTATGGATGAAATAAACTTGAAATTTGATCAAGATATGGATGTCGGGTGGTGGGTTATCTTTGGAAGTGGGAATTATGTCTTGCTGATTCTTGATGCCCCAAATCTTCAGAGTTAATAATTGTTGTCACATTAGAACAACTACGTCTACAGTCTTCAATAATTCTTTTGTTCAAAGCTTGACTCTTTGTAGATGGACGGCCACGAGTGGTTCTATGAACCAAGGGTTCATCATAGGGTTTTGATGGCATTACTATATCCTTCAACAACAACCTGCATTTGTGGTCTTCCTGCATCGTTTATTGTATTAATCTTTTGTTGTCTTAATATTTTGTTGTTCTTTGTATATTATTTTTGACATAGATGCATTTCCTGTATGTCTACCCTGTAACGTGGATAAGATGTATCGTGGCTTGACATGTTGGGCTGATAAATCTTCAACTAGTTGAACTTCAGTTTCATTCAGCCGTATTGCATATGCATGACCCTCCATATATTGTGCAAGAACATAATTATGTGCATCGCATACCACCGTCAACGTCCACCAACTATGTTTAGTCGAAAATAGCGCTATCAACTCAAATGGGCATCCAAACTTTTTTGTTACAGTATGATGAATGAGAATTGTTTTTTTAAACCCCGTTGTGTTCACACATAAACACGATTTTATAGACAATCTCATTTGGTTTTGCCTTTGATCTTTTTGTAACAACAACACAACCAACTGAATGTCCCACATTGTGCACCCACTCAGTTATTTCTTCCCGAGAATTGAACACCTGGAAAAAAAATTATAACTTTCATTTGTACAAGTAAGTATTAATAAACCTAAATATCAATTAATATAATATTGTACCTCGTTGGTGAAAATTTTTGGTGGTGTTGTCAAATCTTCTCCAATATTTGTCTTA